AGGAAGTGTAATGCACACCTGCGACTGCTTGGCACCAAACGCTGCGTTTTGGCCCACATTCCCTGACTGTGCTATGAGAAGCAAAGGTGTCCTGAAAATGAATTTTCATTAACACCGTGCTGTGAAATCTTCACTTCTAGTGTCAAGTCAATATATATGACATTATATCTTAAGAAAACAAATATATGTCATGAGTGTTCATGACTGACAGATAAAACTTACACTCAAACTCCACTAGACAATCACTACTTCTTTCCAAGAAGAGGTAAATTGGAGAACATGTTCTTTTCCCTCCCCCACCCTCATGCTCATGAAAAGGGTACAACATTGTAAAAGAAGTTGCTTCTTCAAAACTGCAGCAGTTCAGCAAGAAGAAAGGATGAAGATGGTATTGTTATGCTGCCTAACTGCAGCAGTTTACTGTTAGAAAAAAATAAACCATGAAAGCTGCTTCAAGAGACAATCATAAGAAAGAAACGGGATGTTCATCCTGTCTTCATATTCAATGTCAGAAGTGTTCTGAAACAACATCAATATAATTTTTAAACTATTTTAAATGCTTTGTTTAAAATAAGTAAACAAATTGAAGTGTTTCTTTGCACAGCACACTTCTCATTGCATGAAAGTTAAGACACTTCTTACCTTTCCCTGGGCTTTGCCTTAGTTACAGAGTTTCCCTTCCTAAGCTTCCAAATACACTGAAAAACAGAATTATTGCCCAGAAACCTGGGTTTGACCAAACAGTTTGGCAGAAGATTGATAATAGGAATCAAAAGACAAACACCAGGTTTCCATCTCCATCATCCTGTGCTCAATCAGAACCTGAATCAATCCTCAAGTTTAATTTACCGAAAACTAAGAACTGAAATAAGTTGTATTGGCTGGAGATCACCACAGCACTGAATCTCACCATCCTGACCTCTTTCTCACCTGAAAGTTCTCTGTGTTATGGGCAGGCTAAGAAGAGATGACACAAAGCCCCAGTGCCAGTCATGTATCACATTACAGTGCTTCAAGATTTCCAAACTTAGTCGCTCTATAAAGGCTCTGTAAGGGAGTTTTACCTCCATGCAGCAAATACGCACCACCAAAATAAGAATCAAAACTTATCTTTAGAATCATTTTAATGGAAATTACACTGCAAACCATGGAAAGTATGCATTGCTATAATGCAAGTTTGTGAGGACAAAGAGAACAAAAGAAAAAAGCCAACACAAAATTGGAAATTAAGATGTTAGCTTTGATTAACACCTATTTTTTTTTTTTTTTATTGGGCCAGAGTGTGTTTAGCTTTGATTAACACCTATTTTTTTTTTTTAATTGGGCCAGAGTGTGGTAGACAGCACACAAACTGAGCTGAGTTTGAAGACAGGATTAAGGGGGAAGGCAGTAGTTGGCATTGCAGTTTTGGGTATGTGCTTCACAGAGATGTGAAACCACAGAAGACAATACTAAAGGCCCTTAAAACTATGTCACTGAAACCACAAGTTAATAAAAAAATTCTGTCTTCAAGGGCTGTAAAAGATGGGAACAACTTTAAAGCTGGCACATGTTCTGTTTTATGACAAGAACAACTCCATTGTTTAAAATCCCACTAAGCTAGAAACTCTAGGCATCAACTTAGCTCCACCCAGAACACAGTGTTATTTAATTCTACAGTTTCAGAAGCTATGTTACAGCTTGCAACATTCAGCTGTGGACTGCAAAATTATGTAAAGTGACTAAGGTAGAAAATAAATAGCTAATTAAGAAAAATGGTCCTTTACTAACAAAATTTTACATTTTGCTTAGCCAAGTTTTCCTCCATTATTTTATTAAAAACCAAAAAGACCAAAGCCTAGTTTGCTGAAGACAGTATAAAGATTTCTTTTCCTGAAGAATCTTCCAAGGGAAGTTTTACAACATGGGGATTCTTTGAAAGTTCTGATGTTTTTTGGTTTTTTTATTTTACCTGAATAACCACAGTAAAACTGACTAATACTGAGAACCATGAAAATTATTCTTCCATGGTAAATATGAATTTGTATGGGCTATTAGAGAAGAAAGTGACTTAACAGATCAAAAGATTAAATCTCCTACATCTCTTTGTACCTCTCCCAACTATCAACCTGCCAGCAGACAGTACATGGTGTATACCACTGAAATCTATGCTTTAGGCTAATAGTCTGTTGGCATTCTGGATACTGGTTTGAACCTATCCAGCTTCTGCCTGGAAAATTCATCTACACTGTCTCCTGTCACAAGCAGGAGAAAAAAAAAAGCTAAGCAATGAAATAGAATCCATGTCATCCCTGATTACTGCCACAATTCTCAAAATTTCCCAATTTTGAAAACCATGCAAAAAATTGCCTTTTTTTAATCCAAAAACTCTTTATTCAAATACCAAACCAAATATTATCAACTGAACTGGCTTATTTTCTTCTGAAATGCTGTCATAAAAACACTGGAAAACCACAGAAGTGCAAAATTTTACTTACTTGAGAAAATGCAAATTATAACCAAATAAATTATAACACAGTACACAGTACAATAAGCTGTGCAGCTGAAATTCAATATTTATAAAGCTAGTGGATCTCTGAAAACAGAGGATTAGAATCCTCTAACATGAATATGCTTTGAGGATAAAAACAAAGTGGAGATTAATTTCTTCTCCTTCTTCACAAGGATCTCGCATGTTTGACTTCTGCATTCCAGAGCTTAGCATAGCTTTGCAGCTGTACAAATAATTTTTTTCTGTTCTCTTAACAGGCGTTCCAGATTTCTTATTTGTTCTGTATTATTATGCCAGGTAACAGCAGGGATAATGATGCTCCACCTTTGACCATGAAAGGAAGAAAGTGTAATTCACTTACCTGGGAAAATAGGAAGGACAGCCAAGTGTAATTAAATGCAACCAATCAGATCTAATTAAAGGAGATGAACCAAACTGAAGTGTACTCTTTTACCATCAAGTTTAGATGAACATCTACACAAGAAACAAATAAGGCCTACTCCTGTGAGGTTTGTCAACCAGCATTTCATCTAACACACCTCAATATGATATGAATTAAGAAGAAAAGGACTGCTCTAAGGCCCAAGAGTCATAAGTCTGTAATTCTATTTAAATAGATGATTATTAAAGCACATATATGGAAGAGAAAAGGACTAAATAATCACCTAAAATCTATTGCGAACTTATGCTTTATTTCTAGTTAATTATGTCAACACATCGGAGTCAAAACTAAAAGCTCTACTGTAAGAAGTAAATAATCTTTCCTGAGAAGATCACAATTCAAATAGATGAGATGGAAAAAGTATGAGATAAAGGAAGATAATCTCTACTTGATAATATGAAAATGAAGCACACTCCAAGATCACAGGGAAATAAATTAAATAAAAACTGAAACTAAATTTCTTGAACTACCCCTTCTTTGTGATGTTTTTACATTCCAGGTTTAATAGCCACATTAGGAGATAACAGTTCCCAGAAAACTGTCATAAAAATGGGATGTAAGCAAAAATACTCTAAATTACTACAGAATCACACCAAGGCAGCAATTCACTGAAGACAGAGCTCAAAGCAAAGAACTCAAAGTTTATATTAACCAATGCCCCTCTCCCAGTATTTTATGTGTTACTGCTCAGGATCTACTTACTGTCTGACATTCAAATGAACAGGTAAGGTAACTGAAGCTCAAAAAAGGAGCAATTTATCCCGGGATATATGTAGAGCTTGTTTAGCAAAAGCATAAGCAAGCATACAAGACACCTTCTGTAAGAATCTCAGCATCCAAAAAGCACTGTAATAAGGTTTGGATGTATCTTGTAGCTATAAAATTAAGCCCAGTAATGTAGTTTTTATATTCACTGCAGAGAGTTTTTCAGCATGCATGACACACTGCATGTCATTTCAGCAGAATGTGCATTCTGTGTTGAAGTAATCTAGGTACAGTTCAAAGATACGGAACAACCAGAAAAACCAGCTTCTAAAGATATATAAATTTACATCTTATAATTTTATGATATTCATTTTCATGAGACACTTATTATTTTGCCCTGAAATGAACTTAAATTGAAAATCAAGACAAAATGTAAAATGTTCTTTTCTCCAGTGGTCAGGAAATTCTACCTAATAGATTCAGAAAGTTAGTCAGCATCACATGAAACAACTAATTTTTCCTCTCAGATGATTGCTGATAATTACATTGCTCCAAACAGCAAGGGGTATAGAATTCTATTTCATACAAAGTGATTATTAATTGTCATATCCCTTTTTAACTAATGATAACTTAAAAATTGTTGTGTTTTTTTCACAGCTTCTTAAAATTTAATAAAGAACCTTTCTCCTAGTACCTGAATGTCTATAATCAGGAACTTTTGCCAAGCTCTTTTTCTTTTGTTTTCCCATCTGACAGATACAGTTGGACATTTAGAGGCATAATCATTCGACCACATTGGAAAGACCATGGTAAAAAGTTTCTGTATCAACATAGCCATGCTGGAAAACATGAAACAGAACAGTGTCAACACTCATGTTGCTTTCCTTGCAGTTCATTTCCAGAGTCTTTTCAAACAAACACATTGCTTTCTTGCAGGATTGTAATACCATGTATTGGGCAGAAGCTGGTAACATTTGGAACGATAGAGAACTTCTGCTTAATACAAATGCCAAAATGAATAAAGAACAAAAATAATGGGCATGTTCCTGGAAAAAGCTGTAAGGCTTTTCAATTTTTTAATTTAAAAAAATGGCATACCAGAAAATGTTAATGAGCTGAAGGTCCCCTGAGTTCACTTTTACACATTCTGTGCTATTTTGATGCCCCTGCTAAAGAAAACTGTTCTCACTCAGAACTGAAGACATTTTCTTTTCAATGTCATAGCAAAATCTAAAATCTAAAAGTATCTTATTCATCGTTCTACTTTACTCACTTCCTTTAAGCCACTCAAGAGTTATCAAACTAGAAGCAGAGAAGACAAAATGATCACAAGTCACACAGTTAGAAAGAATTCAGCAATACCTTTAACTTCTTCATAAATGCTATCATCTATCGGTTCGCTGTTCGATTGTCCAACATCATCATATTCCTCTTCCTCCTCCTCAGGAATAGCATTAGATCCTGTATCTATGTAACAGCAGTTTAAAAAGTTAACATCTAGTGGAAAAGAATGCCTAAGCAGAAATTTATGCAAAATTAAAACAATTCTTTCATGACCTGCTCCTCCAGTACATTCTGCTTATTTTTTTTTTACACTGTTCAAGGGGTAAGAAAGAGTTTATATGAAGGAGCTTGTATAAGGGAGAGCTTTCAAGCTAAATAGTATTCTGGGAGAAAAGCAAAAATCTTGAAGAAAGAGAAAAGTCATATAAAAGCTGTAATACAATTCAAAATTAGGACTTGCTACTCAAAACTTGGACATGTGGGAATCCTACAGGTACTAATATGACAGATAAGTAGGCAGACAGAACAACTGTCACTAAGCAGTATTGGCAATAAAGGCAACTGCTCTACAGGCTGGCTTACCTTGAATTACAAATTTGACTTGCTGTACCCATTCCTCTGCTTCTTTGGGAGTGGCAGCTGTAAACTATTAAATGCTTATTAATAACTACTAGCAGTAATGTCAAAAACACAACTACAATTTCATTAACAGTAAAGAAGAGGGAATGTAACATTCCCGTCACTTCCTCAAGAAACCATTAGCAATTCTTTTCATGTCTTCTGGTACTTTTCTTGCAAGGATGCTTCTTATAATGTACAGCTAATTTTGACAAATTTACGTAATTGAAGGAGAGGATGATGGATTTGAAACTCTGATCAGCAGCTGGCAGCTGTGCAGAAAAAAGCTGCTTCTCTTCATCAATGTCAAAGCCAGAACTGATGAACAAAATTTGCCCTTGACAATTAGAAGACACCCATGAATTTCTTTAGACTGCTGGGTACAGTTTTCTTAAAAATGTTCTTGTCAGACTCCAACACACTACCTGACAGCTTAATTAACTGGCTTTCAACCGCAATCTCAGATATTTAAAACTTATTAAACTTACATTCCATATTGATGTCTGGCTGATAGATCTCTGAATTGCACAGCTGATATGTGCTTTTTTGTAGGTTTTCCTTGAAAAGCCATGACCAATACAATATGTATTTAACACTGATACATATTTTAACTCTTTTTTACTATTTAATTCATCCAAGAAATCACACAGACACACTATACAATAGATATTAAAATGCTAATATTGAAATGAACAATAGATAAAGATGATAGATTTCCTTGCTCTTGACCAAAAAGATAATATTTGAACATGTGCATACCTATGTTTAATCAGATTTTTTTTCCTAATATATGAATATACAATATATGCAAGCAAGGGTTTCCTTTTCTCATTAAGATATCAGTGACAGTTGTTTCACTGAAATGTTAATTCAGTAACTGGAATTGCAACAGCTTTGTCAATTAAATTTCAAGTCAACATAAAAAAGTCCAACCTGATAAATGCGCTTATCTGGAGCAGAGATTTCAAAACAACAATCTTTCTTTGCATCCTTCCGAAGGCTATTATTCATTCTGATGGTGTAGCCCTCTAAGGCAAATTCACCTTTCTGTTGTTTGTCTGTTGGAGATAAAAAACAAAGTTAGAGCTTCATTTACTACAGTGAATGTAAGTGGCTCAGCAGGTTATCGTTTATTCAGATTTTGTTTTCTATTTCATGAATTTTACAAAGAACATGGAGGTTTTTAGCAAAATGATTAAGTGATGCTTCTGGAGATAAAGCTTTATTCTAAGGGAAGATGTACCCAAAAGTACATCTTTCCTGTAGGATGCCTACGGAATTCCACAGGGGGATGTTTGCAGATGGTGGTCTTATTTAGTAAGAAGTGCGTGTTATGACACTTGTATCTAGGGAAAGCCAAGAACTGGAACTTGCAAGACACGTTTCCTATAAATCAGTGTCTCTTTCAGGTTCAGTAAACCAATGGGAAAACCTGTCTAGCTCAGAACTTGCTGAGCTGCCTCCTAAACTAACCACTTCACTCAAAAAATAAACTTCAAGCTTCTTTTTAAGCAATTGGAAAAGCTGCTTTTCACATTCTCCCACCCACTCCCAGATGTGCCTCCTTTCAACATGGCAAAAATACAGAATGAATTTTGTTATAAATTCAGGTGTGTGCATCTGTGTTCATTCCAAAAGCATTTCTTGCAAAACAGCAAATGTTTAATTAGCTAATAAAAGTACCGAGCCCTACCACAGTTTATTAGGTACAGCCATGTGGTTGTTTTAAAGACAATTCTGCTTTTCAAAGGTTCTGGTTTATAAAAGTATCACTTACAGCAGATCTGACTTTAAATAGACTGCATGTTGTGCAAGTGGCACCTGTGCACTCCTTTCGAGCCCTTCAAACCAAATTCTACATCAGATTTTATGTGCTCTGGCATATTTTGGCGAATATTAAAAACAAACCAAAAACAAAAAAGTAATTAAGTTTTGCAATTTCTGCAGATCACAGTGCAGCATTCAAGTGGAGACTGGCATCGTATTTCACATTTTGCACAGACAAACAAAGAACAAAGTGCAGTTGCATATCAAAAAAATGCCATTTAGTGTGGGGCATTTTTTTTACACAGAAAAGCATTAATTAACAATAAGCACCAGGCACAGCAGCAAAACTACTGTAAGTATTGCTGAATAAAACTTTGTTGCAAATTGAGCATCCATTGCTCATGCTTGTCAAAAAAAGGAGAAAACTTCTATGACAGATAAAATAGGAAAACTACAGTTTTTAGCAAATTGTTGTCATATTTCTGGGAATTTAATAGGAAAGAAAATCTGTTTCCAACCCTGAGAGGGTAAAAATTGGCTAACAAAGGAATCTGAACATACATGGACATAAGGGCATACACCAGTCAAATACTCTCTCTAGTAATCTTATATGCACATAGACACATATTCTCTGTCCTTCCACCTTTTTATGATCTCTCACCCAGGGCAAACAAATACTCAATAACACAATTATATGATAAAATATGGAGCACCACTCTATTTTCACTTCTAGTCCCTTCCCCCACAGTAAGTTTCATTCTGTCTTAAATAAGTACTAATAATATAGTATTAGTATTTTATATTTGCTCAATCCTCCACCTCTGTTTCAAACAGCACACAGATGCAAAATTCATGAAATCACACCAAGGTAGATATTAGAAATAATAACTTGCAATAGGTTAACTAGGTTCCTTTTAATGAAATTCATTTCTGCCTAGGACTGTTATTGTTCCCTCCCTTGTGACCTCAGGGAGAAGATGAAGTGAAACACATTAATTTCTCACTCTCCCATGCTGGAGGTTTATCAAAATCCTAGAAGATAGGAGCACGCAGGCAGAATAAACAAATACCAGGTTCAAAAGGTAAAAACATTTTGTCAAGATAAAAATGAGGCAAGTATTCAAATTTACTCTCTTGGATTATTTCTGAGACTGCTTCTGTGTGACATGGATGATCCCTTTTATGGTAATACACTTTTACAGAGCTAATCTCGAATGATCTTTGCACTGGTACTCATTCTTTCAAAGAGCATTGCAGTTAAACCACAAAGATGCTGTACTTTGGAAGGGGATGGTGCATGACATCCATATCCCATTTGATTGTTTTTCTGTTTATACGGTTTTTGTCTTATCTCTCTGAACACACTATTTCAGTGCTAATGAAAATTACCTGTATACACCACCAAATATTTATATACATCCATCGTTTGCTATTACAGTCTTTCAATGACCATTATAGCAATAGACTAGACTTACCATTGCTGCTTTAACTTCCAATTGTCTTAGCAGTAACCTCTGACTAAAGTCCAGTGCGGTGCAAGTGAAGAAATTCTAAGACAATAAGGTACTTCACAGCCCTGACTCAGAACCTGTTCAAGTTGAAAGACTTAGTATGAATTCATACTCCCTGCAGCAGCAAGCCAGAGATAAGACTCAGTATGTCCTAAGAAATGGCTCCACAAATACAGACTTGCAGAGCACAGGTCAGCTATAGCTCAGCTGCCTGCTCTGAGGGTGACAAACAATGGAGGTCTACAAATGCCATTTACTCTTGCAGAATACACCTTTTCAATCAGGACTGGAGACCAACTGAAAAGGATCAGACCATTGTCTGATCACCATGGAGCAAACCATGACCCACAGCAGCTGCTTGGCCAGGCAGAGCAGTCAGGTGCAGGCTTGAAGGCAGAGCCATCCTGGGATCATCAGACTCAACAATCACCTGGACTTCGCTGCTTGGCACAGGCTTGCAGCTAAACGGGTTTGGACAGACCTGAGCTTTTGGTTTCAAGATGCTTTGTGAAGTTAGGGCCACAGCGACTCCTGTGAACTTTCACATTGCCAGTTAAATTGTTTATATCAGAAATATTTTCTGGAGACTGTACTTTAGGGAGAATTAAAGAGTTACTGATATTTAAAAGTTTGGAAGACTTAAAGATTTTACTTGGAGACTTAAATTTAGATACTGTTAGTTTATATAGTGGGAGTCAACAGTAGCTTCAAGAAACACATTTACATTACAGATTTTTAACTTTCATTTTGAACCCCAAATCAGAAACAGAGTTTTGCTTAGGCAGGAATACAGCAGCATATTTAGGAAGAGCTAGGGAGATAAATGCTGATGGAACACACTTCTCTGAAGAACGATAAGATTTTTGCTGTGTGTTATTTTCTCAAGAAAAAATTGCCGTTCCAATTCAAGAACAGAAAACCCTTAAGTTGTCCCAGAAAAACATAAAACAGAAATGCAAAAAGTGTCATAGCAGTCTTGTAAAAATAAAAAGGACTGTGAACATCATCAAGCATAACTTGTTCCCCAATGAAGCCAAATCTCATTTCAGCACAAGCTGTCCTTTGCTCTCATCTGAGAGAGCTTGTGCTGACCTCTCTCCCTCCTCTCTCCCCTGCTTCCCATGTCAGGCACAGAAAAGAAAAATAAATCTGGGTCTGTGTAGATCATTTTGCATCAGGAATTTAAAATCATAAAATGTATAGCAGAGGGGAGAGTCAGGAACTAAGTATTGAAAAAAAAAGTTAGTACACAGACATTTAAGAGAAATAAATATGGGGGGCTACGTTTAACATAGAGAAATTCAGATCTGAATAAAATTTGAAAGCCTTTAAACATTTCTCTCACACATAAACTTCATTCATCCTAAAAAGAGTTAAATGTTGTTAACAGAAACAGGGCCAATATTATATTGAGTAAAGAGAGTCTCAAGGGAAGCAGTGAAAAAGCGTTTTGAAGAAACCTTGCGTAACTAAGTCCATGGGAACATTTAAAACAAAGAAGGGTAAACCTTCAATGAGATCTTGAAATTACTGGGTTGTAAATTTGAGGCCTAAGGCGATGTGCTCATATTATTAGCACATGTAAAAAGAATTAGTGCATTCTGAAGAACAGAGAGGACTGGGATAGTAGAAAGGAAAGAAGTTACAGAGAAAGACATACAGAACAAAGGCCAAAAGAAAGATTTCAGAGAGTGATAAAGTATTTATAGATACTATTAGAATCTATAATTTAACTCTCTTCATCTTGAAATTAGGAGTCTGTAAGGTTTTACAGTTTACATGGCTTCATGCTAAATGTAGTTTCACATACTTTTCCATGTGCAGGATGTCTGCTATCAAAAAATAGCTCAGTGTAAGTATCTCCAAAATGGTAATTCCTTTTCCAGCTTTTGGACAAATGCACACACAGAAGTTCTTCCCTTTAAGACAGCAAACCTGAAATGTAATCAACTTTTTTTTTCTTCTTTTTTCCCTTAATCTAGTCCTCTGAGAAACTGAAATTGTAAAATAATTAAGAAATGGAAGGAAGTGATTTAAGGCACTGAATTGTTTATATTCTGTTTGCTTATACCCAGTAGTTATTCTTTAAATAACGCATTATTAACAACAAGTGTGAGTCTTGAGGTCTGAATTTAATAGACTCACAGCAGAAGACCCAGTATACATTAGATAGATGCTTTGATTGTCATCACCCTGCACAAAAAAGTCCTGTTGAGCATGCACAATTCCCTTTTCTGCCCAAATAGAAGCAGTTCACCACTGGCCTGGTCAGCACTATCTTATTAATCAGAGAAATCCAAAACTATCATGTCCATGTTAAAACTAAAGAAATTGAAAAATAAAAAATAAACTCAGACTTTTCTAAAAGCCTCTGAATTATACCCCTCTTTAACATCATATTACTGGCTGGCAGGCAGATACCATTTTCAAGTTATAAAAATGAAAATAAATTTTTAGTGCCCATTAGCAGAGGAAAAATTACCATAATGTTATCAATTACTGTCTTGCTAAACATTTAGCTGATCTCTCCAGTTTGCTGAGACAGAAGGGCATATAACATTGTGGCCTAGTGAGAAAGAAGTAATGAAGCCATTAATTCAATCATTTATAAAGCAACAAATTAACTTTCCTTATTCACAGGCACTTTGAGGTCTGAAAGGTTATCCATACCATCTCGGTGTCTGAGGACACAGGAACAGCCAGAGATCATATAGAAAAATGATAGGGAACCAGGGTACTCAATTCAGGGGGCAACTGCATGGAAGAAGAGAAAAGAGAGGACTATAAAAGATTTATAGAAGGAAAGACTATGAGAAGGAGCACCAGGCAAGCCTCTCAAAATCCCACCCAGCTCTGACATTTGAACACAGTCCTCTGCAATGTTGTGGGCCATGTGCTGGGAACTGACACCGCAGCACAGGCATAAATACACACATGCTTCCCACAACACCTATTTTTGACATGTGATTAGCTCAAACCTTTAAGCCTTGTTTCTCCAACTACTCCATTTAACAGTGATCACGAGAAAAAATGCAGATGATTCACTTAGACCCATCTATATTGTTGGGATAAATTCCATTGTTTCACTACCCAATGCTACACCAAATGGAAGAGAAAGCAGGGAAAGGAAAGCACTGGCCTGCAGGCATCACAACAGTCGAAGAGATGCTTGGAGTTGTTTAGGTGAACACACACACAAACACACAGCCATTTACTGTATTTCACAGGCTTTATCTTGCACTATATATTTCTGGACTAGGCCTTACTTTTTCATCATTCAGCTTAGAGTAAACGATTCTGAAACTCTTCCTTACGTGTTTGTGAGCTTTATACACTTTTACACTTCTTGCTTTCCCAATGCAAAAAGGAGAGAAGTTTAGTTAGAAGAACTAAAATTGTTTTGGAAACAACAAATCTATACAAATAATAAAAAGGCATCCTATAGCTTCATGTTCACCACTCAGTTACATTTCCACTGATACTTAAGCATGAAAATCAACCTTTCCTCAACAAAAGACACATCACTGCAGACACAAAATAGCTTTCACAGTTTATTCACCTATAGGTTTTAAAACAGACACAATTCGAAACAAGCCAAGATGGATGCAGAAATGCCTGCTGCCTCTCAGCATTACATCCCCCAACATAGAGGAACTAGCAGAGTCAGGCACTAAGTATTGAAAAAAAAAAAACTCCAAATGTACAATTTGTACTAAGCCACAAAATACACACTTCAGTGCTGTTCTACAGTTGGTAAGAACATACTCTGAATTTCTACATGGTCAAAGTTATCTGGTGCAGCATCAAGAGTCACAATAAAAGAAGGAGGCCCCCAGCACAAGAGCATTCTACAGCAGGTACCACTGCTGGCCACAACAGTGGGAGTGAAAACAGTTGCAGTGAATAAATGCCAGAGCTGCTCAGGATTGCCTCATCACACACCTCATCCATGCTGACACTGTGCAGCTGAACAGCGTGATGAACTGCAGCACGTACCCTCACAACCATTAGGGTGACAGCTCACTTTTAACAGCATACTAGCCTGCCATGGCTGGTGTCCAGTTTCTGCTCAATGACAGTGAGTTGCTTCTGCACTGCAACAGGCAATTTTATATATGATGGCATCACGGGCCTGAAGACAGTACCTCTGACCAGTCTAGAAAAACCTTTTTTTATGCAAAGGCAAGTTCAGGAGTGACTTAGTCATCCCATATTAGAAGATTAAGTCACTACACTATGCTTAACTAGTTTTTCCGCACTACAAGCACCAATCTGATGGAGGTAGGGCAGAAATTTGTGCATCTGATTTGTTTGCTTCCTCTGTGAATCACATGAATTACTGCTTGGAGTCCAACCATGCCATGCTCTCTACAACTAGACAAAAGGAAGTTGTAATGAGGTGGGGGTGAGTCTCTTCTTCCAAGTAACAAGTGATAGTACAAGAAGAAATAGCCTCAAGTTGCACCAAGGAAAGTTTAGATTGAGTATTAGGCAATTTTTTTTCACTGAAAGAGGTGTAGTGTACTGGAAGAGGCTGCGCAGGGAAGGGGTGGAGCCACCATCCCTGGAGGTATTTACTACACATGTAAATGTGGCACTTAGGACAGGGTTTAGTGGTGGGCCTGGCAGTGCTGCATTAATGGTTGGACTCAATGATCTTAGAGATCTTTTCCAACCTAAATGCTTCTGTGATTCAATACAGTACCAATGGACCATGTGCCCCTCCCACATCCTTAGGTTGTGGATAGGAGGACCTTCCCCAAACAATCTGCAGCCTACAAAAGCTCTAAATGCCTTAGCCAAAAAAAACCTCTCTACAGATTCATAAACAAAATAGATCCTACAAAATACCACAGTTAATTCCTAACATAACACCAACTTTCTGAGTGCTAGGGAACGTATTTCCATGCATCTTAACTTTCAATACAGGTATTAAAAATTGCAACACAGACTTGATAATCAGGTTGTTGCAAAAGAAGGAAAAAACCAAAAGGGACAAAGACCAGGTGGGCAACATGCCTGCCTTCTTAATACAAAGACCATATGCTAGAAAGCATAAATAATCATTAGCACAGCCAAAAGGAAAAGAGTTGTTAAAAACAATCAAGACTTTTTTTCTTTAAAAAAAGCAGATAAAAATACCAAGATTTTATAATCAAGAACAATCTTTATGAACTAGCAATATCTTCTGAAAAAAACTGCTATTTTTAAATTACTAGGCAATGTATAACTAAATATATATTCCAGATCATTTTCCAGACAAATATATCAATCAGCACTGACAAATCCAAATCAGTATCATGCCACATTTCCTCAAAATTTTTGAACAAAGATTTTTCATGTTTGTGAAGCCTAATCAACCTGTAAATCCCAAGAAAAGAGTATAGAAAAAAAGCATCATTTAGCAGATAATGCTAGCAAAACTGAAAAGAGGACATGATGGGAAACTAGCAAAATGAAAACCGGACTTACAATTAGACTCTTTATTTCTTGTGGTTTTAAAGAGAGGACAAGCTTAAATAAGTCAATATACCAAGGAAGGAAACAAACTGGAGCAAATTATATTAGTCTTTGAATTAAAAAAGCTGATATAATAACTACCTGCAGTAATCTCAAAAATAAAAAGACAAACAAAAAGAAGAACAAAAAACTTCAAAGGACAGTTTGCCCTGGAATGTCTTTTTGGGGATGGGGGGGTGTTGGAGGGGAAGACATTATTGTACTTTAAAATTTACTGAGATATAATTATGTATCATTTTGTTCACCCTTAAACATCAAATGCACATGGCACAGAATTTAAATATGTTTTATTTTACTGTCAATTTCAAAAATTCAAAGTAATATTACATTTATGCTAGATTCTTTCCAAACTGGCTATTTAAATTTAAAAGTCACCTTCAGAAGTTTGCTTTCGTTTCCATTGCTGACTTCAGATAAATACATTACTTAATTTCTAGCTTTGCCAGAGCACAAATTATTTAAAAAGAAACAAAGAACTCCACTATGCAACTTTTAGATTAATATTTTCCTGGATAGAACCAACTCTAAGGATCTCGGAAGGTATAATTACTAAAGGATGTTTTCAAATTAACATCCTATTTGGAGAGAAAGAACATTTTCTATCTAGTAAAACAGTTGAATACCAGCATATTATCAAACTGAACAGCAAGCTGTTATTAGCAAACAAAGTAGCTTTAAAAGAAACTTTTTTTACCCTTAGTTTCCCAGCCTTAAAAAACACTGACAGGTTCTGATGAATATTTACACATTTCAAAAATTCACAGCACTGTCCAAGAATTGTTTAAAAGAAAGTAACTTTCTTTTAAAAGCTTCATTCCATTTCTTAAAATTAACTTTTATTCACAGTTTTCAATTTCAATAAATCTTTCATATCCTTTTGTGCATTAAAACATCATTGCTTTCGTAATTGTTATAAGTACCTTTGTCGCTTCCATAGTAATAGAAGACTGTCTTGCTGATAGCACACCAACGTTTCTGCCATTCAAAGCCAAGAAAACTGTGGTCTGAAATTAATACAACATGTGTTATGTCAGTTTATGCCATTATTGAACAAAAGTGTGTTACTTCTTTTCAAGGTGAGGTAAGAGGGAGGAGGAGCTAGGAAAATGACACTAAGGAAAGGAAACTAAGGAAATGCATGGCACTGAGAAGAAAATTAGAAATAAAAATTGATGGCAAGAAAACAAATAAGAATTTGAAATCACATAAAGAGGGAAGTCATGTGTAACATTAAATATAAGGAAATAATGAACAACTTCCTAAATATTTCCTAGAGTTATCGCAGCATTAAGTGGGTATTAAAGTGACAATATAAGATTTATTGAATCAAGGTAAATATTGACTGAACCAAAGCTGAGATCAATATTTGCCCTCTTGAAGGAAAATAAATCTTGATGCTCACTGAAACATGAAGTCAACATATGGTACTTGTACATACGTTCCGAATGTTTTCTTCAAAAATATCTGAAAGTTTCTGAATTACGGCTGACTGGACTTTCACAGCATGATTTTGTTAGTAAATAAATAGGATTTTCTTGCAATACTACTATAAAAGCAGTTATGTGCTATGCTTCTTTTGCATAATAATGCTTCAGCATTTCAGCTTCTTCTCATTTTATTTACACTCCTGTATAAAATTGTTCATGTGTACAGCATCAAATACAGACATACAGACTTCCCAGACATTAAATATGCACTAGCTTTCACAAAGATAGCTAGACTTACCTTTTCTACGTTTTTCCAGGTATCCAGCCTTCAGAACAAACTGAAGATCCTGAGCCGCAATGGGAGGAAACTGATTCCCTGAAAGAAAAACAAATTCTGTAAAGCACTGCTTTTCAAGAAAACTGCTATAGAAGCATTAATAAAATTATGGATTTTACACTCTCAATATGCAAGAGCTACTGAAAAAAAATTCTAGTTACTATTGTGCCAGATTATTTTAAGTAACTGAACCATCTACCTATCAATGTCAGAGCTGTTGCTGTAGTCCTCACCACTTGAGTAAGGAAAAATAGAGCTGCATAACACGCCTTGCAAGTCTCAGAAGGAAAAGTATGTAATTAAACAAAATACAGCAACTGTTTCAAACATAGTCTGTAAAGCAAGTTGGATAATGAAAGCACTAAGTTTTCAAATATGCAAATAAAAGAATAGCAATCAAGAAACCCAGTTGAACACAATTAAATCCAAAATGCGGTTTTTGATACCAGCGTCACACCAAAATACCTTGAAACAACATACAAGGTGAAGACCATCTATAACACATCTACAAAAAAAGAAAACAGATGGAGAGACAATAAAAAGTCCTGCCTGTTGCTGACAGATTTTGCCTAATTTGCAATATATGACACAAAACAACTGCTGCCTATAGGATCTGTCAGGTGATAATACACAAAACAAAGACATTGTAGAGAGGTCTACAAAACTGTTCACCTACAGACACTAATTTTAGACACCTTGTACAATATATCTGCATCTGCAAAATGGTGAGTATAGTTCACTGTATTTTTTCCTTTTTCTCAACTGCTAATTCATAGACATGTAAGACTGACCAGCTGACCCTGCCCCATCTTAAACTACAACTTTAAATGTTAAAAATTGTCTTCCATCTTTCAACCTTTTCCTCCTAAAACAACAGAATGATGATTTAAACAGAACTCCTAGTATTAGGAACAAGAATATGTTAGATGTGTATAATATTTAATATTAATATAAATATCATGCTGCTTACCCCAAGCAAAAAAGCAGAACAAAAGGTACTCCTGTGGTGCTGGGTTTTTGAAGCGCGTGTAAGAAACACAGTGAAGTTCCTACTACTTATTATTATCAAATATTCATAAGAGTCGCTGTAGGTAGGTGGCAAGTTTACCAGGCAGCCATTATTCATCAGAATATATGTAATCTCATTACATTCCATCAATATAAACATACAGAAAAGGACTGATATTAGCAGACAAATTCCGTGCTAAAAACACCATTTTAAATTATGTAGTTTGGGCAAAAGATCAATGGTCTGACCTTGAACCAAGCACTGTCTCTGAAAGGTGATGTCAATTTCCTGGATTTTTAGGTAGCTCCTTAAAATATTTTTTTTTTTAATTCAGTGTTCATAAATGAATTGTTTTATGGCAGTTTTATTTAAATACAGTTATGAAAGGAAAAAGACAAGACGGAGATAGGAACATGCAGAGAATGCTGATTTTTAAAGCATGAAAATACTCAAAATGAGAAGACATTCTTTAAATAATACAACTAGCTCTTTAGACTGTGAAATATTTTGACACCAAAAGATGGTAGATAAAATTTTACTTACATTGAAATTTCCACTTAATTTTTTTAATTAATATTACTTTTTAAAGATTAGGAGTATACTGATTTCTGTTTTAGCTTCTATGGAATTCTGACTATTGTGCTAAAAATACAGAAGCAGAATCAACAAGCATTTTAAGGTGATACAACTGTCCTCCTTTTGCTTGGTAATATGCAATCACAGCCCAACATTAAATGGGAACTGAACACAAAGACACTTGATGGCTGGTATGTGACATGTTTAACAGTTACTTTAAAAGGTGATGTAATTATGGTATTATGAGTGGGGGAGGTGAAGAGTTTTTTTATTTTGTACAAATATTTTTACAAATATGGATCGTGTGCTGCTTTATATTGGTCATTGGGAGGCATCAGTGTGCAACACTTAAAACTCTACCTCATCCAGTAGGGCTCATTTTAGAACAGTGCAACCCCACAGAGGAGGAAGACATAAAACCTAAGTAAACATATAAACAAAAGCAGCTCCAAATTGTAAAATTTTACAATTTAAGCATTTCAACCGCCATTTAGACCTAATGTTACCCAATATTGTTTGTATCAGTTTGGGCTTTGATGAGGAAGCTCAGCCAGTGATCATTTAGTGAACAGACAAATCAAATGGGACAACACAGCCCCAGAGAAGCACATACTTTGGGGACTCCCTAGTGTTCTTATTCTGTCATCTTAACAGACTACTTCATAAAATCAAAATTCCACTCTCAATTCTATTACTTCTGCTGAGACAAGTCAGGATAAATTTGGTGATGGTTTTTTCTGTAACTACATTTATTTTGAACAGGGCACTGAAAGCTTTTCCTTCAAAAGGAAAAGAACATGCATGGAAAAAGAGTGTTTCACTGTCTGCTGCCACTGCAGGAGAAGTCCTCCTCCCAACCCTTAACCTGTAGAGAAGCCATTTCTTTTTCTATTCCTCAAAGCAACTGAGGCAGTAACTCCAAAAAACAAACTGCAGCTGGTCAGCCCCATTGCCACTCACAATCTGTAAGTAGCTGAAGCAGAAACAGATCATATGCGTGTTATTATCCTTCTGTCAGAGAAGCCTGGGAACCAAAAAATATGATGGAACTTTAGTCAAAGGGCAGTAGAAACAGACCCAATTGTAATATCCCACGACACATACAGCTGTACAAGAAAGAAAAAGCATAAATCTGGTTAAATTCCTTCTTTCATTGCCCTGTACCTTCAGAAGGAAGGGGAGGGAGAATAAGTAGTACAAAAAGCATAAAGGAAAGAGAAAGAACCACCTCCTCCCAGATTCTCATGAACCACAGGTGTTGTGCATATGTGGCAGGAAGAAAGCGCAAACATGGTTACACCATTGTGCCAGTACTACAACAAAAACAACATGGGGAAGAAAGAGCAGAGAGTCAATCACATTTTCCTTACACTTACTACCAAGATTTTGCATGGGAAACTTCTAAGTTGTATTATCTATCTTTCTTCCGTTTTTCATTTCTTTCCCATCTTGTCCACATCTCAAACAGGATTTAGAGTGAACTGCAACTGTTAGATGTGGGAGCTCCCAGCAGAAAGTGTGGAATTTACGTAGTAAGTTGGTTTTTGCAGTTGCTTTCAATCAGAATATTGCTTCCCCATTCATTCTAAATACATCAGGCTTGGCACAAATCTCATAAAGAAGTATCACTAAAGCAGCATTATAACATATTTACTATATTTTGTTACAGTAAAGCAGCATTTGCTTACATTACACCAGCAGCTGAGATCAGAGGTTCGTTAGCTGACTGCAGTATGAGACTTTGAATAAGAGACAACTCCATCTATAAAGAATCTAAGGCAGAGGAATCCTGCCAAGAAGAAGGCATTACTATGTATTCTGAGTAAAGAACCATAAAGAAAATTAAGCCACATGCTTCAAATCACATATGCTCCTTTAGAGCTCAGAATTTCCCATGTTATACTCCCATGCACACCCCAGGATGTTCACACGACAAGGAGAATTTTCTCGTTCCCTCGTGGATGTAGATGAAATGGCCTGAATTCCAGTTATCTGTAATTTCACTGGAGACTGTCCACTGCAACAAATTAAATGTGGAGATGCAAGAAGCTTGCATCCTGGGGATGCAGATAGCACCTACTGGCACTACCTTTCTTGGGTGTCTCAATGCCTGTTCCTGAGAAACTTATGGTCAAACCCACTGCAAGATCAGAGCAAAACTTCTCTCTCAAAAGGAGACCACTGGAGATCGCCTGCCTAGCACTGCATGGTCTGTTTCCAAATATCATTAAATTATTTAGAAATAAAGATGCTAAAAGGATCGTAGTCTTTCCTGGTTTCTCCTTTGGTACACTGTAGTTTTTTAAGCCAATTTTAAGCACCTAAGAGAAAAGTGGCATTGTGAGTAAGAAATGCTCTGTGGCTTGCAGCTGTGTGGGTTTATACGTAGAGAAAGGCACAATGATTGCTTCTATTTACTCTTCCAGATCTATTTTCTGCTGTGTCATTGTCCTGACAGTGGTGGGCAAGCACAGCGTTGAGGATATAAAAAGGTCTCATTTCTATTCCAGAGTTTCTACCTTACAAATAATATCTTGAACCTTATTCTTTTGATGTGAAGACTAGTTCAAAACTATCCAATATTTAGGGAGATAATAATCTTGCATACCCAGTACATGATATAAAATAAGGGAGGTCCATCTGCTTAAACTTACAGGTTTTCCTTCATTCTTGACCACCCACTCACAAAAGAATCTCTCACAATAATTTCTCTTCCTAGCTCTTCCCTACTGGTGGGAATTACTCCAATGTACTCCAAAATAAAATCTGCAAGTTATGCTCCACATGCATATTTCCAGACTGATGTGTACAAAAGCCATCAAAGACTAGATCAAAATATTTATGAGGCCTAAACCTTCATCTTAGAGAAAAGTAAATTATATATATCATGCACTGGACTCTTCCTCTTGGTACTAGGCATTCTTGTGCCAAGTGAGCAGCTGGCAGTTATTATAATACTATTGCTGCCAGGCTGAAAATTCCTCCAGTGAAAAGAAAGTGAAATGCTTTCATTCAAGCATAAAGCCAGCTTTACCAGTCATGCTTTGACTTTTGAAAAACATTAATGCCATTAACATAGGCATTATGTATTAATGTATAGGTTCCACTGCACAACTCCCACAAACACCTATCTTGTGATTTAGAAAGATCACAAAACCACAGGTTATGGCATTACTATAATTTTTTCAACTTGATAATCAAACATGCAAAAGCCTGAATGATTTAATTTTTCACCTTACTGCAACAGTGAATTTGGTCCATTACATAAAAACAAGTTTCATCAGTGTCACTTCACAGCATGAAATTCAACTCTTGTGCCTGGAATTTTGATTTTTGGAGGACCTAAAGATGTAAAAATTTCATCCTGTATACAAAATAAATAAAACAAAACCAGACTGTATTATTCCGCAGTGTTGTTGTTAATATATTTATAAAAACACTTTCTCTTATATTT